CATTTATTCGGAAGACTGATTTAAAACGCTTTCAAGGTAACGGAAGATTAAAGAAAAACTCAAGAATATGTTAGCATCAGATAAGGCAAGGGAAAAGATGGCAGAAATCTGACCCATGATGAAGGAAGACTGGACCACTTCAAAGACACTCCTATGAAAGTTGGGGAATTGCAGTCCTTCAGGTACTGAATACAACATCCTTTACCATGGATACACTGTACTTGGCTGGGGTTGATGGAAGCTAGAGTACAATAATATTCAACCCAAAGACATTGGATTGGCTTCAAGAGCATACAGCAGGGAGAAAATGGAGAATGACAGAAATACTTGTTCACAAAAAGGCCAGCACTGAGGCAATAAATGCCACCTCACCTCAAGCACATCTTCAGAGGAAACAAACCCTTGAGGTTTAGCACAAGTACATTGCCAGGAATTCTAGAGTTCGTGCTTTATGCAAGAAGAATCACATTGTTAAAATAGACCGGAAAACCTATAATCTATCTCCTATTCAAACAATGACTATTTGGATGATGCAAAGAGAACAAGAGTACAATAGGACCTTGGATTTCTGGGAAATGGCTCTCAGAAGACGACCCGCTGCCTCTGAGAGTTCCCAAGTTAAGTGTATGCTATGGTTTTCTGTTTGTTTTAAAGAAACAGAGGCAGAGACCAATAACCCAGAAAAAGCTTTCTTGCTACTTGCTAATCTCAACACACGGGCACATACAAAGTAACTACGTACATGTGTGTTCATATAGGGATGTGTAAAGGTAAAGGTTCCCCTTGCACATACGTGCTAGTCGTTTCCGGCTCTAGGGGGCGGTGCTCATCTCCATTACAAAACCTAAGAGCCAGCGCTGTCCAAAGACGTCTCCATGGTCATGTGGCCGGCATGACTAAACACCGAAGGCGCATGGAATGCTGTTACCTTCCCACCAAAATGGTCCCTATTTTTCTACTTGCATTTTTACCTGCTTTCAAACTGCTAGGTTGGCAGGAGCTGGGACAAGTAACAGGAGCTCACTCCGTTACGCGGCGCTAGGGATTCAAACTGCCGAACCTTTCTGGTTGACAAGCTCAACGTCTTAGCCACTGAGCCACCGCGTCCCCTGTGCCTATATATAAAATATATAATTGAATAACATGTGTATGGTAACTAGAATGTTTGAAGATGGTTCCTGGGATAGAAAGTTTACTTGGCCACTGTTAAGTGGGAAAATGCTAGGAAGAAAAAAAAAGTATTGTTGTTTAGTTATGTGCCCGAAGATTTTGCTTTGGGGTAGTGGACTGTTAGACCAATAGGGGAACTGGGAAGACTTGCAAGGATGAAAGTGCTAAGTAATCATGTTTGTGTTGGAAAAATGTCTGGGGGCTGGGAGACAGGATATTGGAGTAAATGGATGACTCAGATTGGTAGGGACAGACCAAGGCTGGGGAATTCTAGGAGCTGAAGTACATACATCCAAAAATTGCCAAGGTTGAGAAACCCTGCGATAGACAATGATGGAGATCTGTCAAAGAGCTGAAACTGAGTTGCTGGAATCCTTGTTTACGGTGTTTTTTAGGCAGACGGCTGCAAAACATCAGTAACAAACACAATGGTCAGAGCATGGAAGCAAGTGAGGCAACAGTCTATAGATTAAAAGTTCAAATCTGGAACCTATGAACTCATGGTCTCTGGCCAGGTATGTGAGAGAAATGGCAACAGCACCAGAGATCTGAGAAGGGAGGGAGAGAGTGGCTTGCACTGGCTAATGGCTGAGAAAATGATAAAAGCCATGCTGGCACATAAGCAACAATCTCTGGAGAATAGATCAAGGTGGCTAGAAGCCATGGTGGAGCTGAAGGGTCTGGAAGAATCAGAATCAGACTGCCAAGGATTTATGGATCTTGTCCACAAGGTTAAGAAATATGTCTCAGCAGTTAGCACTCATTAGAAGTACATAAATAGCTTGGGAAGAGGCTCTGGGAGATGGTAGATAGATAAAAATAGAGGTCCCGAATTTAGTTAGAAAGTGGGAGGTCTTCAGTGCTCTTTGATCTTTGTTGCTTTCTTGCAGACATTTCATTATCCAACTAGGTAACATTATCAGTGATAGAAAGGAGTGGGGTTTGCTTCCATGATATAGACTAGTAGCTTGCACTGTCAGTGTGGGTGTGGTCTTAGCGGTTCCTCATTAGGGAGTGGACTTCATGCATATTAATTTATGTGTGAAAGGTGAGATTGACTGGACAGCAAGTATAAACCGGAGTGTTTAATGTCCAGCTGCACCTGCAGGAATGCCCTGTACATATGGAAAGGATAAGTAGAAAATGGGTCCATATTCACTGTCTGGGAGAGAAATAAATGGGTGTCAGGTTGAAGCAGAGGAGGTGTAGCAGTGACACCGAAAAGGTTAATACAGCAGAAGGGGAACCTCCACGCTGGTGTCCTGCTAGGCCAGCTGTCCCAGTCCTGGGTAGCTGAATATCAAGTTCCTTGTCTCAAGCTGCTGCCAATAATTATCAAGTCTGTGTAGAATAAGACTTGACAAGGAGTTAGATGAATGCACCAACATGGCACACATTACTGAGACTTGGCTGGGCACTGTGGGAGATGTTGCCCTGTTGGACATCTACCCTTTTGGGTTTCAGCAGCGCAGCAGCCATGATGATGCAAGGCTTGGGAAGGAGGGGTGGTCATTACTGCACGCAAAACAATTGCAGTTTCTGGGAAGGCAGGCTGTTGCAGATGCCTGCGCATAAAATTAAAAGACATCAGCCGGGGAAATGGGAGTCACCACAGGCTCATCTGAAGTACAGCGGCCCTGACACACGTGCTATAAGAGGGCACACACTGGATCTGGTGGCTTTGCTGATGTTGACCGACATCCTGATCGCAACTATTGTACTCCATGCTGTGTATGGGGCTACCTTTGAAGACAAAAGTGCTGATCGTTTATCGATAAAAGTCCTAAATGATGCAATATGGGGATGTATCAGGGACTACCTCATCAGACATGATTCTGCCCATCCAACTTGATCATTCTAGGACAGGGGTCTTCAAACTTGACAGCTTTAAGGCTTGTGGACTTCAACTCCCAGAATTCCTCCTCCAGTCACGTTAGCTCAGGAATTCTGGGAGTCGAACTCCACAAGTCTTAAAGCTGTCAAGTTTGAAGACCCTTGTTCTAGGACAGTGGTTCTCAACCTTCCTAATGCCGCGACCCTTTACTACAATTCCTCGTGTTGTGGTGACCCCCAACCATCAAATTATGGCTCGGTTCCTAAGACCATCGAAAATACGTGTTTTCCGATGGTCTTAGGCGACCCCTGTGAAAGGGTCGTTCGACTTCCAAAGGGGTTGCGACCCACAGGTTCAGAACCACTGTTCTAGGAGAATCTAGAAGTCTGCTGAGGGTGCTACCCCAAGTGTGGTATGAGGCTACATGAATAAGAACCTGGGTATCTAACAGGTCCAGCTTTTCTACGTAAATTGCTCATTCAGCAAGATCAAGCTGGAGAACTTGCTGCAAAGTCCCGGCCCATCAGGAAATCTTGAGAGCAGGGATCCTAAGAGCATCTCTTCCCAGGACCTGAGCCCCTCTGAAGTAGCCTACTCGAGGGGAGAGAGGAAAGTAGCACCTTCCCTGTTGGCATTTTGGAGGTCTACTAAAACTAGATCTTCTGGAGATCCTTAGGGCAGGGGTGTCAAACTCCATTTCATTGAGGGCCATATCAGGGTTGTTTGACCTCGAGAAAGCCGGGGGGGGGGGGCACATGGCCAACGTGTCACTTGTGTTGGGGGTGTGCCTGTGATGGCCTAAGCACTCTGCCAGCAAAAACAGGCTCCCGGGCTCTGCTTTCGGCTGTGACGGCCTCCTGCAACCTTCTGCCAGTGGAAACAGAGCTCAGGGGAAGGGAGAACGGGACGACGCATGTGGCCCTCGCAAGCTCAGTTTTCGCTGGCAGAGGCACCGTGGAGCGGTCCTTCATTATTTCCAGGACAGCCCCGTGGGCCAGGTCTAAGTAACCCCGCAGGTTGGATCGGGCCCCCGGCCTTGAGTTTGACACCCCTGCTTTAGGGGTACAGATAATAAATATAGCTCCAAGGTTTGGTGAGAATACATTGTGATAAGCCTTGTTGGTTGGAATGAGTTTTACTTTTATTACTGTTTTTATTTGTGGCCTTGCTTTTGTTTTACTGAACTGTGGGGATGTTCATTTCTCAGAGACTTACAGATTGGCGCAACAGGCACACAAAAATAGATACTTTTTTTATTTCCTCCTGTGATTGGAGTGATGTGCAAATATTTAAAATGAAGAAAGAAAGAAATCAGTAAATGTCTTATTCTACATTCAAAGGGCTGTGATTCAGGCGAAATAGCCTCTGGGCTATCCTTTTACACACACAAAACAACTATTTTTGCTGCTGTTGTTTTAACGTGTTGGGTTTTACAATTTAAATGTTAGAGCCTCCCAGAGTAGATCAGAAGATGGGAAGCGATATAAATGTCGTAAGTAAGTAAGTAAGTAAGTAAGTAAATATTTCAGTGCTGAAATAAATCAATCCCTTTGGAACATTCTGGATGTTACACTGTATGGATCAAAATAAAACTTTGTTTTTTCCTTTTTTTTTTTTGCACCAGGTTACAAAAATAGAAGGGTGATATTCCATGCTTGGTGCTCTTCTATCACCAATCACAGAATAATCAAGTAAGGGGATGATTTTTTTTTAATTGTACAGGCAGATAGCAAAACATATATTCAGTTACTTCCACTATTTGTGGGCGGAAATTTAATTAAGACGATCAAAATTTGCTTTATCGCAAGCTTGGGAAAGGAACTCCAAAGAAGCTTGGAATGTGTTGCATCTCGACTTACAAGAGCTATTTAAGCAGCAACAAATGTAAAAGCTTAACATTAATACTAGGAAATAAGTGGAAACTGGACATTTGGAAAACAATCAAATCCAAATGCATGAGTGCTTTAAATGCTTCTCTTGCCCCCTTCATACATACACTTTAACAGGTTCCTGGATGCCTTTGCCATGTAACCCGAGGCCATGCCCTTCTTGCCAACCCATTTTTTGAAGTATTTGGAAGCCAATGTTCTTCTCATTTAGTCTCTTATTATAGAATTCCAAATCCTTTGTTTTCTGTTGCTGACAAATAAAAACAAGATTCAACAGGCTGGAACATAATAAGGAGATGTTAAACACAACCATAAGCAGAGGTCCCCAGTGTTCGGGGGAGAAGGGAAATAGGGATTATTTTTCACATTTTGGAAACCACACGACAGATGGTGAGAGCAAACAGCTGGTGTGATCTTGACATATTCATCAAATGGGCCACCGATGGATGGGGTCCATCCTAAAACATAAACTTACCTAAGGATAAATCTGCAACGATGCTCTCTTTACATCTTTTGTCTTTAGCCTCCCTAGAAACTCACCCTACAGGTACTCCTTGACTTATGACCAGTCACATAGCGACCATTTAAATTTACAATGGAACTCTCCAGGGCTACCTGGATTCAGTTTTGATGGCCCGCCCCTCATGGTCATGTGATCACAGTTGTGGCGCTCAGTAACAGGCCTACTTTTATGGCCACTTGCAACATCTTGTGTCCCTGTTACCCTGATTTACAATGTGTATTTTTTCTGGAAACTGGTGTTTACTTTTGATGTCTAGCAAAAAAACAACAACCCTATTGCAGACAATGGATTCACTTAATGGCCACCACAGAAAAGGTCGTAATTATTGGGTGTGATCACATTGTGACCTGCTTAATGACCAGCATGACTTACAACTGTAATTCCAGGCTCAATTACGACCATAAATCGAGGACAGCCTATACACAAGTTCCAGATTTTCTGTCTATTTTGAGGGCAGGTGGGCATATTTAGAAACAAAGCTCCAAAATTCCAACCAGTCGTCATTTTTTTAATCTTCTAAAAAAAACAAAAACCTTAAGAACAATGTAGGGATGGACAAAATTAACCAATTCTGAAACTGACTGTTTTGGAGGATAAGGAATTGACAATCATTGCTCTATCTGATCAAGCATAACCTGGCTTTTTGATTCAAAGAATTTATTTCGGCAAAACTACTCAACCACTCCCAAAATCGATGGAAATAGAATATTCCCTGGAACATTCCATTTCCTGATCAATGAATTTCCTACATCCTTAGGAACAACTTTAGGATATGCTTGGAAATCATGATTATTCCACAAGTTAGTGCTCTGTGCCAGTGTCACCAACCAGTGGGCTGGGGACCACTGGTGGTCCATGAGAAAATTTTGGTGGTCCGCAGAGAAATGTTCCCCCCAAAAAGCACAACCCCCAAAGCAATTAATCCAGGCTGCACGGGAACAGAAGGCTGTGCCGCCCACATGGCCCGTGAGAACACAAAACTTGCATTGTGAACAACACGAGGTAGTGAGGGTAGAGGGGGGGAACTTGCCCCACTTGCCTCACACGCCTGGCCTGGCCACCAGGCTGCTTCTTTCCGCTTCTTTCTTCTTCTGCTTTTGGCTGCACGCAAGGAAAACAGCAAAAGTCTTTCTTTCTCTCCCCCAAACTCCGTCAGAAATGAGTCTTTGGGACCCTGCAAGGCATCCTGCTCCAAGAGGCTGCGCCGGTGCGACACGTCTCACAAAGACTTCTGCTGCTTCTGCTGCTTTCCTTGCATGAAGCCAAAAGTCTCTCTCTCTCTCCCTCTGAGAACGGAGCTGGAGACGGTATCCTGCAATCCCAAATAAAGAATGATTGATCGGTAGGAAAATGGGGTGGGGAATTTTCCCATTGACTTTGCTGGTCAGAAGGTTGCAAAAGACACAGCAACGGTCGTAACTTTGAACCAGTTGCCAAGCATCTGAATTTTGATCACATGATCATGGGGATGCTGCAAACATCGTGACTGTGAAAAACAATCCTAACTTTTTTTCAATGTTGTTGTAACTTTGAACAGTGAACTGTTGTAAGTCGAGGACTAACTGTAGACTTACAACCACTTGTTTAGCACCTGTTCAGGGTTACAACGGCACTGTAACCGGCACTGTAACCTGCAAGGACTGGTTGCAAGTCATTTTTTTTCAGTACCGTTATAACTGCATCGTGGTACAAATCAACGGATTCGCTTAAGAACCATGGGTGTGTCTCATTTAACAACTGCCCTGCTTAGCAAAAGAAATTCTGGTCCCAACTGCAGTCGTAAGTCAAGGACTACTTATATGCAGAACACATTCCAGCATGCAAATTCTAATTTGTGATCCTGTATGGTACTGTGTAGACAGTTGAACTTAAAGGCAAGCCCCGGTAACCGAATAGGAACGAAAATTAAACAGAAGAATTCTCTCCCAACCTTTATGGCATATTATTCCATTTTGCATTACTTGGAGGAAAAGTAGCAACATAAATATCCCAGTCTTAAAAGAGAATCATTTTTGCCTCACCTTCTTGTTTTTATACGAAGGATAGCCGCGAGGTCGGTCATAAGAGATCCGCACCGGATCATGTACTAAAAAGCAAAATGAGAGGGTGAATCAATCCTACATCAAATAAATACTGTAACGCTTTGGGGCTTTAGAGAAAGAATCCACATAGATCAGTACTACTTTGACCAAAGAGATGCTTTCAGGAAGCACAGGCAGACCAATGATGGAAACAGCTCTCCCTTGTCTCCAGCATCAGAGGCGGATGACCTCCAAACATGGCATATTAGATTAGCAATAGGAAGTGCTGAAGCACTGGATCAGCCTCAATTTACCATGTAATTGAGAATCCTGTTTTTCATAACTGAAATATAATTCTGCTTTCAGGAACCCTAGGAGGAGGATGGAAAGCAGGAGGGGGAAGTTCCTGCCTCAGAAATCTGCTCACTCGGGTTTCGTATTTGAGGGCTCTGAAAATATCTACAGACCCCTCACATCCCGGACATAAACTGTTTCAACTCCTACTCTCAAAACGACGCTATAGAGCCCTGCACACCAGAACAACTAGACACAAGGACAGTTTTTTGCCAAACGCCATTCCTCTGCTAAAAAATAATTCCCTCAACACTGTCCAACTATTTACAAAGTCTGCACTACTGTTACTATTAATCTTCTCATCACCTCTTATCACCCATCCCCTCCCACTTATGACTGTATGACTGTAACTTTGTCGCTTGTATCCTTACGGTGTATACTGACTGTTTCCTAGTATGATTTGATTGCTTATTGTACCCTACGACTATTATTATGTGTTGGACCTGATGATTCTTGACTCTTGACGAATGTATCTTTTTCTTTTATGTACACTTGGCCAATAAAGAATTCTCTTCTCTTCTCTTCTCCTCTCTTCTCTTCTATTCATTATGATTCTTGACGAATGTATCTTTTCTTTTATGTACTGAGAGCATTTGCATCAAGACAAATTCCTTGTGTGTCCAATTACACTTGGCCAATAAAGCTATTTATTCTATTCTATTCTATTCTATTCTATTCTATTCTATTCTATTCTATTCTATTCTATTCTATTCTATTCCAGCTGCATTCCTTGGACAGGGAAGGGGGAGGGGAGGTTGCTATGGTTACCTGCAAGGCCTTGTTGGCATTGAGCAGCGCTACCCTGCGGAAAAGGCAGTTGAGCTGGCTGCAGAGTGGCATCCCTGCCAGGTCTCAATCTGATTGCTGAGATGGTGGAGGACCTCCAAACCCAGAAAAATGGCTGCCACAGCCGGTCAGAAATTTAACTCAGCTGAGAGAGTAACACACTTGAGAGATCCCACTTACTACAGGGGTGTCAAACTCAATTTCATTGAGGGCCGCATCAGGATTGTGTTTGACTTCAGGGTGTGGAGGGTGGCCATCTCAACGTCATTCGTGTCGGGGGCACCTGGGGTGGCCAAGTGCTAAGGCAGGACTTCCCTCAGACCCTCCCTCCCTCTCATTATAATCTTCCTTCCTTCCTTCCTTCCCTCTTTCTTCTTCCTTCCCTTCTTTTTCCTTCCTTGCTCTCTTCCCATCTTCCCATCTTTTCCTTTGTCTTTCCTCTTTCCCTTTCTCCTTTCCTGTCCCTTCTTGCATGCTCAAAATACAAAAGGGGAAACATTTCTCCTTTTTTATTGTTTTCTGCCAGCGAAAATGGAGCTCAGGGGGGGCCACACACACATGGCCCTCTCAAACTCCGTTTTCGCTGGCAGAGGCACAAATCAATATGGTGAAAACTCTTAGGCAACACATACCCTCAAATAAGGCTGGATCCACATGTAAGTATTACCAGACCGGCTTAACAGCTACATTTACATGACCTGCTACATTTGATTAGTTTTTAAATGTAGCATTTTAAAAAAAAATTCCTTTGCTAGTTCTGCAAATCCAGTCTATTTGGACAATTCGGTGAATTTAATGGATTGTGTTGACCCAGATCATGACTTTGTTCAATTAACTGTGTTGTGCAAAACCAGTCTGAATATAGCACAAAATCAGTCAGAACTGCCAACTGCAATTAACTATACTATTTGCTAACTGTTTTCCAATACTTTTGACACCTGTCTGATCTTCAGCAAGAGAGATGGAGGCTAAGTGCAGCCCTGCAAGAAATATGTGGAAAAATGCTTTATAAGCCCTGAGATTTAGAGAGGACGACACATTTTACTGCAGAACTGAACAAATAAAGAATAAGTAATACACTGTTAGAAACCCCACTGTACAAATTACCTGTCATTCAGACCCATGTCATAATTAGGAATTCAGAGAGAAATTAATAGATTTTCCTCATTCTTCTGCCTGCCACCAGCACAGACTGGTACACTTGCAATGAAACTGGAAAGCACGTAGCTCACGATTTAAAAGAAACTGGGTTTACACACTGAGTAAGCCACAAAATTGATTGCTAAGTTTAGACAATGGGCCCAAACCATTCACAAGGCACCACTATATTTATAGAGAATATTTATAGCCCAGGGTTGAACGGCGATGTCCTTGGTGATCTCTGAGCTTGATTGGTTGTTTCCCCCCAGATAACATTGTTGGTGCTAGCAAACCCCCCACTTCCTAGCACTGATCATGTTATCTAGCTGTATAATGAAACGTCTGTATCAAAACAATATGGGAAAAAAGGTCAAACACACTGTAGCAGGGGCCCCCAAACTTGGCAACTTTAAGTTTCTGGGAATTCTGGGAGTTGAAGTCCACAAGTCTTAAAGTTGCCAAGTTTGGAGACCCCTGCACTATATAACCTAGCAGAAGCACCCAAAACGTTTTCCCAGCTCACCTGTTGGTTCATCTATGAGACACACTCTCTTTGAGGCTGGGATCAAGCCCACTTTCAGGGATTTGCTACTGATTCTCTTGCGCCCAAAGGGGGTGCCCTGCATGGGTGCCTGTGCCGTTGGCTCTGAAAGGCCACTGGTCTCTCCTTCTTCTTCTTCTTCAGCGGTCTTTGAATGCTCTGCTTTCATAAGCCCCTCTTCCAACATGGCTTCGTCTAGCTCCTCAGTTGGCTCTGCAGCTTCCTCCTCCTCTTCATCTCCCTCTTCATCTCCCATGTCAGCTTGGGGAGCTTCTTCCTCCTCCCCGTCCTCTTCCTCATCCTCTTCTTCTTCCTCGCCCTCTTCCTCCTCCTCCAGGTTTCCCCATTCGCTTTCCTTTGGTTCAGACCTTTCATGGAAGCCACCAGATTCCTGCCTATCACTGAAGCTGATAGAGGGGCATAATTCATGGACTTTCATGCGATAAAACTTGAAGGCAGAACTCTCTGGATCCTGCAGAAATCTGGGGTGGGGTGGGGAGGGAGTTTAGAACAGTGTTATTTATTATTACAATAATACTTGTAATACTAGTAGCAGGGGGAAGGGGGAGAGACACAAAGCGACCTTCTTTCTCACAGAATTTTCTTCTTAAAAGAATTCTAAAAGTTAGACTTGATAAAGCGTGCTAAATCTGCACTTTGCAGGTATATGAGGCCCTCGATTCCAACTGCAGTCCACAAGTGGGGTGAAAAACTTGCAGCCAAATTGCAGCAAATGGTCTTTCTGCAGGCTCTTGCCCTGTCTACACCAACCTGATCAGCTTTTAAGTTTTAAGTTTCTGGGTGTTACCCTAAAAGAGGACCTGACCTGGGGTGCTCACATTGCAGCCCTGGGCAAAAGGGCCCAGCAGAGATTATACGACCTGAGACTTCTCAGAAAACAACTGAATGAGAAACTGCTGGTGACCTTCTACCGCTGCACCACAGAGAGTATCTTAACTTACTGCACCTGTGTATGGTTTGCCAATTGCACAGTGGCAGATAGGAAAGCACTCCAGAGGGTTAACGTCATTGCCCAGAAGATCACTGGTTACTTTCTGCCCTCTTTGGAAGAGCTTTTTGGCTCCCGCTGCCTTCAGAAAGCTCAAAACATTCTCAAAGATCCATCTCATCCTGGGCATCCCCCCCCCCCATTTTTTTAACTATTACCATCTCGCAGATGGTACAGAATATCAAAAACAAGCACAAATAGGCTGAAAAACAGCTTCTATCCCAGGGCAGAAGCTCTGTTGAATTCTACTGTATAGTGCAGTGTTGGTGTGGTGTCGGGGGTTTTCAATTCATGTGTGGATTGTGAAGGATGTGTGTTTGTGTTTATTTTCCTGGTCATGATGTGCACTGAAGATGGTGTTTGATTTCGTTGTATAAGGTGCAATGACAATACACTAAACTAAACTCTGCAAAGAATTGCTTACAGCCTCCTCCCTCGAGTAACTTATGACCCAACAGTTTAAAAATGGGTGACTTCACATCAAAGAGAATTGTATTTCTTCTTTTGTCTGGCAGATAGGGAGCCATGGTGGCGCAATGGTTAGAATACAGTATTGCAGACTAACTCTGCCCACTGCCAGCAGATCGAATCTCACCAGGCTCAAGGTTGACTCAGTCTTCCATCCTTCTGAGATTGGTAAAATGAGGTCCCAGATTGTTGGGGGCAATTGGCTGACTCGCTAAACTGCTTAGAAAGGGCTGTAAAGCACTGTGAAGCGGTATATAAGTCTAAGTGCTATTGCTATAGTGTGGCCGCAACAAAACTGATCAGCAAATTAAATCCCACCTCTATGTTGATCAAATAAGAAGTGATCTTAGGCAAACGACTTGCTCTCCATCTCAGTTCCCTCCTCCCAGTCTGAAAAACGAGACAGCCGTCAATCCTTTTGCAAGTGTCTTACAAGGATTTCAACAAGAACAGCCAAAGTACCTCTGGATTCTCTAAACTATTATTGAATCATTTCAAAGTATTTCTCTTATCCATTTGCACTTTTCATTGACAAGCAAGACCGGGGAGGAGGGGGGGGGGTTGATAAACAACAAACCACTCACAACAAGTCTGGATTATCGGCACTGTTATCGATGCTGAACTGCTCGATTTCCGGCCCAACCTCAGCAACAAATTCAGCCAGCTTCTGAGCTGTTACCATGACTTTCGGGTCCACTGAAAGACAAGAGAAAGAAACCATCCAGGAAATGGTTTGTTTGGGTTTTTTTGCAAAGAAACAGTACATGTAGAGGCACTATCAATACAGTCCTATTTTGAATGCCAGCAAAAGGCCAAATGAATTAAATCACATTCATCTGTTTTTAACCATTACTCCCTGATGTAAAAAAAATCCCGAAGACTGAGCTTGGGAAAACCTGCACGTAGTAGAACTTTTGCTGTACTACTCAGCCACGACTCTTCCTTCATCAGGAACTTGTCCTCTTATTATGCACTTATGCAAGGCTGTTGTGGGGGGAAACCTTTCTCCAAGGTTCAGTGGCTCCCCATATCTGCAATATGTGGAAAAACCTGATTCAAATGGTGCACCAATCAACTAAATGTAAATTTCTGAAGAACAGATTAACAATTAGGTTGAGATGATTGAGAATGACAGCCATTTAGAATCTAATGGTTCTAAAAAAAAATTATGCTAAGTGCACAGCTGCATGGGAAAAACATGGACTGCATTTCCATCAGGCACCAAGCTGTGAAAGGGGTTTGGTAGGGCAGTACCACTGTAGTCTATTTACCACCCAATCAGCCAAGCTGTAATCTACAATCTATCACTATGGCGATCATACCTTCAGCATGTTTTGGTACATCATTCAAACCCTGATTGAACGTCTTGATTGCTTAATGCAGCCAGATACTGGTATGTTTTGGACAAAAAAGGCAAAAGGTTGAGTTGGCTGAACAGTAGCAGAGCCAAAGCTCATCCGCATTGGTGATCTCCGATCCTCCTGCTCTTTTCCTGTGTCTCCTGTGGGCGTGATGATCACAATCATGAAAGCGGAGGTGTCATGCCCCTGGCGGAGACTGACACTGAGGAAGAGGAGGAACAGCCAACAGGGAGTGGAAGTGTGGCTCCAGAGGTGGAGGCTGGGGAAGGGCAGAGGCTGGCTGGGCAGTCAGAGGATCCAGGCCCATCCCCCGTCCATCCTAGGGCACGCAGGGAGGAGGGGATCAGGGGAAAATGTGGTGTACTCAGGATGAGAGGGCCATGGTCCTCTTCATGGGTTGCCGGTGTGAGATCTGCATAAGAGTTTGGACCTGTGTGCTAACAGACGCTGGAGACAAATTAGTGTTTTATTCCTAAAGAAAGTTTATCTTGGTTGGTGTTCTTCCAACAGGGATTGTCCCTGGTTATCTTCCTGAAGCTGGCAATTATCTATCCTGGTCTGTTGAGGAACTTTATTCAATGCATTTTGTTTTGGGCTTTTGCTTCGTTATTGACTCTCTGACTGTGAACTGTGTTTCTTTCCTTTGAAATGTTAATTTTGAAAATAGTTTTCTCCTCCACTGTGAACAGTTTAACAGTGAAGCCAAGCTGAAGGCATTATAAGGACTTTTAGTTACGTTTTGGTTTTTGTTATAGTTCTGATGTACTCTGGGTCATCACAAGGAGATTCATCTGTCACTCACTCTATGCCTGGCAACTTCAGGCTCAGACTGAACCTTCTTGGTTTTGTCTCTGTTTCTTCAAGTTGAAAGAAAACAAAAACAAAAAGAATATGGAGGTACATAACACAATTGTGTACAGGTGGTCCTTGAGTTATGACTGTAAGGGAGCCCGGAATTATCACTGTAAATCATTGCAGTTCTTAAGCATTTCACCATGTGACCTGACCTGCTTTTACAACATCGTTTGTGGCAGTTATTAAGGGAATCCATTTTACCCAACCGATATTTGTGCTGGAAGTTGCAAGCAAACCAGCAAAGCCAGCAAAACATAGGGGAAAAAATCAGTCAGATGATCACAGGATGCTGCAAAGGTGTGCCGATAGTCAAGCCCTCAAAATGTGATTACATGACTGTGACGTGTGTGTATCCTAATCAGTGGAACAATTTGCTTCCAGAGGTTGTGGGCACTTCAACACTGGAAGTTTTTAGGAAGAGTTTGGGCAACCATTTGTCTGAAATGGTATAAGACCATGATGGCGAACTTATGCCATGTATGCCGGAAGTGACATGCAGAGCCATCTCTCCGGGCACGCCAGCCATCACCTGTTGCTCTTCTGGGTTCCAGCCCACGCATGCGCGCTGGCCAGCTGGTCTTTGCGCACACAGGAATGCTGGAAACGGGAAGAGCAGTTCCCTGGAGTGCATGCGTGCGCCAGCCAGCTGGTCTTCACGCACGTCTGCGTGTTAGAAACCAGAAGACCAGGTGGCCGGCGTGCATGTGCATGCCTGGAAGCTAAACTTCCGGTTGCCGGCACTCCCACATGCGTGTCGGGAAGCTGCCCTTCCGGCGTGCCCTCGCACGCTCCCATTGCCGAAAAGGTTAGCCACCGCTGTTATAGGATTTCCTGCCTAAGCAGGGGGTTGGAATAGAAGACCTCCAGGTCCCTTCCAACTCTTCTAATTCTAATTTTATTCTATTCGTTTACTAGAACAAAATGTGGGCATAAATAGAATAGAATACCTTTATAGATAGAATACCTTTATTGTCATTGCATTCCATGAATACAATGAAATTTGAAAGCTACTCCAGCACAGTGCCCCAAACACCACATCACAATCACACTACAGAGTATTTTAAAAAAATAAAATAAAATAAAATAATAATAATAATAATAATAATAATAATAATAATAATAATAATAATAAAACCTAGTCTAAAACCTATTTAAAACATTTAATAAGTTAAATAGTTTTAAAATGCCACTATATACAGTACATAGGACTAAATCACAAATGCACTGTTTGATTTAAGATAATTATTGCCTTGGAAAAGAGCCTATTAGTCCTCATTTTAAGACACCTATAATGTCTCCCTGATGGTAACAGTTCGAAATATGAATGACCAGGATGAGAACGGTGGAGATTTTTAGTGCTCTAGAGGAGTCTGGTCTTCACAATCTCTTCCAAAGAAGAAAGAGAACTGATGGTTTTTTGTGCTGTGTTTGTAACTCTCTGGATCATAACATGAACATCTGAAGCAGAGTCAGTCAGGCTATTCTCTTGAGCACAGTTAATCCTGAAAGAAGCTCCGTGACATGGAACGAATGAGCAAAGTCACTGCAGCGACTCAACTGACAGCAGCAGAAAGTATGAAAATTAATTAGGTAGGACAGTAACATTCCTACTTCAGATGAAGGGTGGAATAATGATTTAGGACATGTTGTGTATAATTGGTTTTGAAGATATAATACTATTTGCAGTTATTATCAGTTGACAGGAAAAAAAAAAAGTACAGAATGCTGGCTGGCCTTTAGCCACTGCTGCCTTCATTGGTTCAGACCTGGCCTATCTGAAGATCTGAAAGCATGCTTAGTAACTGAGGAACACTGGCAGTTTCACTCGTACATTAAGCATTGCTGGATATTTAACCTCGATCTCATGGGTCCCTATTAATTTAAAGCAGGTGAGGAGAATTTGGGGTAGTAGCGGGTGCTTTAATGGGTTTTTAACATCCTGGATTTTTAAGGTTGGAGTCACCTATGTGTGAGTTGGGTGGCCATATGAATTTGTTTCGTAAATAATAAATATGGCCCTTTTTTAGCGCGCCAGTTAATTTTATGTGACCTGGTCAGTGATGGCATTCAAAAATTTTTACTACCGGTTCTGTGGGCACGGCTTGGTGTGTGTGGCGTGGTTTGGTAGGCGTGGCAGGGGAAGGATACTGCAAAATCCCCATTCCCTCCCCATCCCACTAACCTGCTTTCCAGCTCCGTTCTCCTGTGCAGGGCAACAAAAGAAGACCCAGCCAATCAGCTGGGACTCAGGAGGCAGAGAAGAAATGGGGTTGGGGCCAGTCAGAAGTAGTATTCCAAACTACTCAAAATTTCCACTACCGGTTCTCTGAACTACTCAAAATTTCCACTACCGGTTCTCCAGAACTGGTCAGAACCTGCTGAATACCACCTCTGGACCTGGTGATAGTCACAGTGAGGCTGCAAAAGCTGTACATGGGCCAGTATAGCACAAGGCCCAAAGGATGCAGCTCTGAATGATGCCCAATGAATACACACCTAGTAACCACAGAGTGTGCGGGAAGCTTCAAGGGATGAAACTGGCTAAAGAGGCTTCCCCAGAGGGATATTACCTCTACTCAGCATAGGGATGCAGGGAGTCATTGCCTTACGACAGTTTGTTTAGTGACCATTCAAAGTTACAAGGCCACTGAAAAAAGTGACTTATGCTCATTGTTCACACGACCGTTGCAGCATCCCCATGGTCATGGGATCAAAATCCGGACGCTTGGCAACTAGCATGCATTTATGACGGTTGCACTGTCCCGGGGTCTAGCTGGAGAACATGATTGATGACTCTTGGCTATGGATGTGTCCCATTGGAGAATATGAATGATACACCCAGGGGTGGAGGGAAGACCAGGGTCAAGGGTGACAATGAATTATGTGTCTAAGAGTCGGCTACACCTAGGCAGTGCTGGACATTTTAATTCCCAATAAATCCTTTTAAAACTTTGGAAGTTTGGCTTGAGACTTATGATTTAAATGGGGGTAACTGCCGGAATCCTGACAGTGATCATCTTTTGTGACCTTCTGATAAGCAAAAGTCCATCCAGCTTCACTTAGCAACCACGATGCCAACTCAACAATTGCAGAGATTCACTTAAGAGTTGCGGCAAGAAAGGTCGTAAAATGGGGCAAAACTCACTCAACAAATGTTTCAATTAAACAACAGAAATTTTGGGCTTGGTTGTGTTCGTAAGCCGAGGGCTGCCTGCATAGTCAAGAGTCCTGTATCTCCATATTGTAGCCTTCTCCAATCTTCTCCAGTCTCCTTTTAAAGCCATCCAGCTTGATTAGACATTTCATGGTTTAGAACTCCATATTTCAGCCATGAGCACTTTGTGAAATAATCTTGGGAGTCTCCCACGTTCAGCTTGCCTAGGACTGAGGCCTAGCTGGTTGTGTTCCCTCTTGGGAAGAGATCATTGGCTGAATATTACAACATACAATATTACAATAATTTATCATTCAAAACCGTAGGTGAATGGTATCTTAACAACCACGATACTAACGTAGCAACTGCAATCAATTGCTTAACAACCGTGGCAATGAAAGGTCGTAAAACGGGGCAAAATTAACAAATGTCTCATTTAGCCACAAAAAATTGGGGCTCCACTGAGGTCACAAATTGAGGACTACCGGTATTTCACCATCAGAGTGATAGTGAACTGCTATGCTGAATGCATTTGCCCAACTGGCTCTGTAGGCATTCTTCAGTGGGCTCTATTTAACTATGCTATCCGTTCACCCAGTGGAGTTGTAGATGCTGCACAAGAGAGCTGTGCAAAACCTTTGCTGAGGCAAGACAACACTTGACCAATGGCCTTGGACTTCACGCCACCTTAAGTGGAGAATCCACACAGTCGTATTCCCTTGGGTTGCTCTGCTTTACAGGGTCAGCGAGGGCCACAGTTCCCCCTCCACTGTTGGTTAAGAGGACACATCAAACTGCTGGAGCACAAGCCTGAACGGAATACTTGAATGGCTTGAGAGGGAAGCCATTATTTATTTTATATGCATTCACTATTTTAAGATGCCCACTCGGCATGGGGCCTCGAGTAACGAAATGTGAGCAAAAATTAATATCAGCAACAACAACAATCAAAAGTCATCTTACTAGGGCACATCCCCTTGAAAAACAAGCTCACTAAACACCCTATCATAAGGCCAGGATTGTATTTGCGCAGAATTGGAAAAATGATAAAATACTAGCAGAGGGAAAAGTGTTTGAGAAAATATTTGAATGTGCAGAGATGAATAGATTAACACTGGAAATTAAAGAAAAAGAAGAAACTGAATATTATATATGGGACTTATTTTATAAATGGTTAGAAAATAAAATGAGTTAAAATTGAGTAGATGAATATACAAAGAAATTAGTGAAGATGGTTATAAAGATAATAAAGAGGAATTGATTTATGATTTACAAAGAAAATGTGATTGTTATATTGGTTAAAACATATTGTGATGGTTAGCACAAGATATATGTACACAGTCGACACACTGTATGAATGAAAGATGGAATTATTGTAATTATTAAAAAAAAAATAATGCCAGGAAAACAGCGATGTTTTCAATTCCTCATGGAAGGCCATCGCGGTTGAGATTAAGCAGAATTTCTGGGGTTATGTTCTACAAAGCAAGTGCAGTAACAGAGAACGCTGAGAATGTAGCAACGATCTTCAAATACGGCCAGGATGTCACGCAGAAGAAAAGATTTATCTTCTTTAGACGCCCCTGAGCGTAGGACATGGAATGCCTTCAGTTACAGGAAGGCAAAGTGTGATTAAATGTTTTTTTAAAAGGCTTCCTAACAATAACAGCTTGAGCAGAAGAAGAAATGACCCGGATGGGATGAGCTCCCCTTTTCAAGTGGAGGTTAGGGAGCCATTTGTCAGAAATGCTCAGACGTTTCAGATTTCCCTAAGCTGATATCAGCAATCTGGAGTGAGCAATTAATTTTCCCAAGGGGCGGCATGAGAAACCGGGACTATTGTGGAGGGCTGAGCCAATAGGGCTGTGAAGGGGCATGTACACATGGACATACGTAAATTGAAACTAAAAGCAGCAGTTGCTTTCAAAGTAAAAGCAATTCACATGGACCGGACAGGAACAGCTCAAGAGCTGGATGTGGCCTGGTAGTCGTAAAATGCCCAGGGTAAATACCATATATGAAAGGATTCTATTTCACAATTTTCTCACATTAAAAGATGACAATTTGTATCCGGGCAGGTCCACCAGATATGAAAGTATGTATCCTGTTAATTTTTGCATTTCCAGCAAAAAATATTGGAGTAAGATTCGAAAGTGGTTACAAGAAATAACAAAGCAAAAAACTGAATTTCGACCAGAACTGTTCCTATTAGGCAGAATTAAGGGAGAATATAGCAAGACTGACAGATATATTATTCTACATATAACAACTGCTGCTAGGATTACATATGCACAGCACTGGAAACGGAGATATACCACAAGAGGAAGGAGTGATAAGGAAAATTCTAGAGTGCGCAGAAATGGACAGGCTGACTCTAGAGTTAAAAGTTAGAGAGGAATCGATGTATTATTCAGTCTGGGATGCATGGTTTGAGAACAGAAAGAAAAGTAATACTGTAATTAATTAAAATTATGAAGTTATATATACTGAATATAGATTTAACAGAAAATATATTATATAACAAGTGGTATAAATAAGGAGTAAGTAATAAGAGAATTAATAGAAAAAGTAATATGCAGTAATTGTAATAGAAAATTAAGTATAAGAATATGGTTAAGATATGTAAAGGATGCCTTTAATGTTGATGAAATTGGGTTTTTTATGTTTTTAAATTGTTGGAAAACTAAATAAAGTTTATTTCAAAAAATAAAAATAAAGATGACAATTTGTAAGAACTTCCAAAGGCCTTGGGATCATACTGAAGACTGCTGGGCAGCTGCACATAACCCTGCGACCTTCAGGTTGTATTATTCTGCGCTAGACAGAAAAATCACTTAAATCGGTGTTTCTCAGCTTTGGCCCCTTGAAGATGTGCGGACATCAAATCCCAGGATTCTTTGCTAGCTGGTGACTTTTGAGATTTGAAGCCGACACATCTTCAAGCAGCCAAGGTTGAGAAACACTGACTTAAACTGTTCATGGCCCTTCCCAAGAACGTTGCTCCTCTTTGGCTTCACCTACCGTCAGGGAATTGGCTCATCAAAGACGGGGAATTTTCGGAAAGCCTCAGCAAGTCCGTTTCTCCTGAAGTTTCTTTTAGGGACAGCATCTCTTCCGGATCACCGTCGGGTTTGTCCCTGTCGGGACTGGACATGGGTGTGTGGGGGGGTGCTTGCTGCTTCAGCACCGACCCGGCAGATAAGAGCGTCTGGGTTCCAGTGGTGGATTTCTTGGCTCTTCTGGCCCTCGCAGCTCTTTGCAGGATCCCAGGCCTTCTCCTCTGAAAGAGCTTCTTCTTGATCCTCGCCACTTTCCTCCTGTACAAAAGAATCCTCACAACTTCTGAGATTTGCTGCTCAGACGTCTTCTTGTCTTGGGTTTCTTCCTTGGCTGCAGACATCAGCCTCTCCGTCTCATCCAGCTTCAGCTTGTAGTACTTGTATTCGAGGCTTTCCTCCTCGAGGAGAAACCTGTTTTTTTTGAGGGGATGGGAAAATAATCAAAGAAAGCTGAAAAATCTTCTCCAAATTCCCACCCATTGGCCCTTGATCTCTTTGCCCTTCTTTCTGCCCTCTTACCCTTCTGCCCCTCCTGTTGCAAACACTTTTTCCCTCATTCCACTCTGCTGTTCCTGCTTCCCCCACTTGTACAGGCAAAGAATACTCACTTGTCCTCCAAAGGCTCATCTAGCACAGCACTTAGACTTATATACTGCTTCAGAGGTGTTTTACAGCCTTCTCTAGGCAGTTCACAGACTCAGCCTATTCCCCCCCCCCCCCAACGAACTGGGTCCTCATTTTACTGACCTCGGGAAGATGGAAGGCTGAGTCAGCCTTGAGCTGGTCGGAATCGAACTGCTGGCAGTGAACAGTGAGTTAACCTGCAATATTGCCTTCTAAACCACTGCGCCACCACTCCCTTCTTTTCATCCAAGGGGCGAGCCCTCATAATCAAGCATGGACTCCTGGCTATCTCACAACTGAGGAGTCCTTGGTGCTCTCTGAGCTGGATTGTTTTCTGACAGATGTTTTATAACAACCTAGGCAACACCAACAGTTACCTAGCACAGAAGGAGCTGAGATGCCGTGAAAACAAATTGGTTCTCTCAGAAGCCTATTGAGAGTGCCCCATTCCTTGCAAGAGACATGGGTATGAATGAAACCTATTTTGAGGTAGCCCCCATTTTATGGAGCTCCCTCTCCTTGAGAGATATCAGTGTCTCCGATTCTTCTTACTTTTCACAAACAAGGGAAAACAGTATAATTCACAATTTCGGTCAGAATTTGTAACTTCCCAAAGGAGAAATTTGCCACTTGAGACAAGAGAACAACTCCTTCAACTAGGGTCTGTAGACCCACATCAACTAACCTTGCCCAAGAGGACACTTTTTTAAAAAAGAAATCACCCTTCTTGGTGAGCAGGGACCACCTCCCTGAAGCCAGTTTCTTTAACAGTGGCAGGCAACACCCAAAGTGAGAATGCTAGACTTAAGAAGAGAAACAACCCAGGTACACCATGCTAACCCATACTGTGTAAAAAGTTGTGGCTTAGCATTTGTCTGAATTCAGGTGAGTAGTTAGCAACCATTAATCCTCCAAGACAATGCTATCAGGCGCAGACATGGCCACAAAGCAGAGTCATTCTTCAACAAGGACTTCATTGTTCCCCAACCACAGCATTTTCATTGGGTGACTATAAAAATCACTGTTTCTCAGCCTTGACCAACTTTAAGATCTATGTACTTCACATCCCATAATTCCCCAGTCAGCAAGTTGAAAACCATGCCTTAGGATTCTCTATTTATTTGCTTTTATTTAAGCGTACTCACGTATCAATCCTGAATACAACAGGACACCTTAAACCAGACATTTATTTTCTAACTTACCTTGTAGAATATCACAAAGACATGATAAAATTGGAGCTAGATATTGCCTCCAAGCACTCTGAAGGGTCCAAAGACAAGAAACAAGTAAGATAAATACCAATACTCCGGGTTGTGTTTCAGTTCAGCCTTCTCTTTCCCTGTTAATGTGCCAGAGACCATCGTATTCACCAGCTTTTCAATCGTCTCAACGACTTTCCTATCAGCACGTTGTGAGGCTATGCAAACAAGTACCAAAAAAGGTGGAGAAAAAAAAAATAGAAGTCACAATAACAATTTAAGATGGCAACTTGATATCTTCCTACTAATCAAATGCGCTCTCGTTATGGTTATCACTGGTAAGTGAGCAAGATCACTTTATGTATTCCATTTAATTCTGTATCATAAAAATGTGTGGATTATGAGCACAGAAGAGTTTGACTTTGTGCCACAGGCCACAACCTCAATATATAAAATGCTCACCATTTGTACTTTACAGAGATTTCAAAGAACTTTATTTAGAATGTTCCCTGATTAATCTTTTTAGTCTTTTAAAAAAAATAAATCTAGTTATTTCTACGTTATTCAGTAGACTCCTGGATAGAAGAGTATTACATATAATTATATTTTGAATTGCGGGGGGGGGGGGGGAGTAGTCCTTAACAATAATCTTATTTTGTCACATCATTTTTCTAAACCTCTCCTCACGTTTAGTCAGCAGACCTACTTCCCAGCACCCAGTGGTACTGTATTTCTGAGTTTTTTTTTCTGAGAAGATCTGGGTTTTAATTTCCACTCATTCTGAGACAGGCTTTGTTCCTCAACCTAGTGTATTTCACAGAGATAAAATGAAAGGCAGAACATCATTCCTAATTGCTCACATACTAAAAAAAAAAGATCCCCACTTAATTTTAAGTGTGATTTACATGAATATTCCACTGACCCTGAGCTGGAGGACTGGCAGCGGATCTCTTTAACTGCATCTGGCAGCCACTTTTCTCCAACCAACTTTGCAAGGTTTCTATATATTCTTTCCCAAACAAGGCAGAAGTATCAAAATTGGGAAATAAGGTAGGAGGAGGGGCCGAATCCTGGACGCTGAGGGCCTCCAGGATTTTTTCCTGCCTGAAGGCAGAGGCCAGAGCGAAGGTTTGGCCCAGGAGGGCCAAGGATTTCCGGCAGAGGGACATCGTAGTCTGAAAAGCGGTGGCCATCTTCCCTGTGTTACTGAAGCTGTTCGTTTTGATTCTGAGCTCGTAGGCATTGCAGGCCATCAGCAGAGGCGTAGTGCTCTTGAGCAGGTAGTCCTGCAGCCGCATCATATACCGGTCGAAAGGCTTAATGACCTCAAAAAAACTATTCTTGGTCACCATCACCCTTTTCTCCAACAGCAGGTTCAGAAACTGGCTGTCCACTTTAGGGGTCCTCAGAGCTGGGTGTTGCAGCGTCTTGACGCTGTTCATACAGAAATCTTGGTGCTCCGTTTTCAGCGAGCACTTAAACGATGCCAGCATTTTGGCGCAGGTCTCCGTCTCTAACGTGAAGAGCAAACGGAAAAGTTCTGAATACTCCGGGTCTCTCTTAATTTCATAGAACCCAGCCCACTTGATGATTTCAACCCCAAAATTTGCAAAAATATCCGAAGAATCTAGAAGTTCTAAGTCGGGCTCTTTGATCCGGAGGTACCCTGTAGGTTTCAGAGCTCCCTCTTGCTGTAGTCCCTTTAGAGAGGCCAGACCCGGCCTTGGGATTTGTGGAGGGTGAAGAGAAGGTATCGTTCTTGGCTTGACAAGACCCAGAGGATTTAACAGAAGGTCATCTGCTGGGGACAAAGCTTTAGTGGCCCATTTCTTGAGGTGAGCAGCCAACTCCTCTTTACTTCTGACTAGGCCTCTAGTGGCGATCCCACGTTTCCCTTGGAGACCTCTTCCCCTCCCAGCATTCAAAGCGGAGCCGAATTCTCCCTCAGTCTCGAGGCCCTGCTCCAGATCATAATTCTGACTACAGGCAGTCCTGTAATTCTCCTCCAGAAGCCGTGTTGATCTGAAGTCGCCCAAGAGTTCTGATGAATCAAAGTCAGCCTCACGGCGTCTGGAAGGGTCTCGAATGGGAGTGTGGCTATATTTCCGTTCCCTTGAGGCAGCGTTGTCATAGTCTCGGGAAGATGGGCCAGCATAATCTCTTTCCACGGCCGACGAATTTCCATAGTCTTGTTCGTATGAAGTTAGCTGGCTGTAGTCCCGATTCTGTGAAGAGAGTTTGGCGCTACTTTTGGCAAAGTAATCCTCCTCCTCTGTGACGTGGCTGCTGGACCTATAGGAAGGCAGCGAATATTCATTTCTAGTGTCTTTCCTCCAGTCACCCCGCATGAACTTCCCACCGTCTTGAAATTCTTCCTCCTCCTCGTCGTACTGGGCCCGTGTGACTGGCCGCGAGTGAACTGCATGAAGAAACAAAAGACAGCCGCTGTTTATAGAGGCACTGAACTTTAATACAACCACCCTATTTGGAAGTGTTGAAAAAGGATGAGCCACCCCTGCATCAGGGATGTCAAACTCAAGGCCTGGGGCCCAGATCCGGCCCACAGGTTGCTTCGATCTGGCCCGTGGGGCCACCCTGGAAACAGCAAAGGACTGGCCCGCAGTGCCTCTGCCAGCAAAAACGGAGCTCAGGATGGCTGTGTCAGGGTTCCAGCGATTGCCCTAATTAAATCATGAGCCTCGAGCCAAGCTTCAAAAGAACCTAAAAGATTTATGAGGAGCAACATATCAGCATTATCACAGTTGAAGCCAACTCTGACACACGTGATCTACAGTCACCTGTGACCCTGTTTCCTCCCTCTCCCCTGGGTGTGTCATCAATCAGATTCTCCAACGAAGCACATTCACCAGCTAGGCATCATCAATTACATTCTCCAATGAAGGATTTTTGTGGGCAGAAGATCTGGTAGCCTAGCTACAATCTTTGTAAGATATGCGTGGAATGTACTTCTGGTCCGTCCCCGTCCCCCCGTCCCCCCACTTATGGCAACTCGAAAACAGGCATAGGAATTCTTTATGAGTTGACAGGCTGTGTGTAACCCTCCCGAGCTCCGTTTTCACTAGCAGAAGGTTGCAGGAGGCTGTGGTAGCCGAAAATGGAGCTCGGGAGCCTGTTTTCTCTGGCAGAGCGCTTGGGCCACCATTGGTGCCCCTGACACGAGAGACGTTGAGCTGGCCATGCCCACCCCGGCACCCCAAGGTCAAACACAACCCTGATGCAGCCCTCAATGAAATCAAGCTTGACATCCCTGCACTACATCATGCAACTCTGTATTCTACTGGAACATTAAATATTACTAATGAAGGCAAAACCACCTTTTGTCAACAGGGGACATGGGAGTGTGATGGTGCCAGTGCAGCGGCTATGCTGATTGTCATGGTGAATGAGATTATGGCTGTGAGTCTTATGTATTTATTCTCTTTAATACAGCTTTATAGTTCTTAAAGTGTTGTATTTTTATATGTTTTGCTTGTAAACTGGTCATAGTCTTTCTCTCATACACACTTCTCTCTTTCTGTATGTGTGTGTGTGTAAGATGGACAGCTGTATAAATCTGAATAAATAAGATGCCTATGAAAATGCACAATCAGAAGAAGAGCATGATCACACTCCTTCCCAAATACGTGGCAGTCGTTGATTTTATAAAAATTGGAAAGGTCTACTTCGAATCACGTCAGTAAAAGAACTCAAACTCTCAGGACCCAGAAGAAGAGCCTTCTCTGCTGCCATGCTCATCCTTTGGAATATCTTGTCTCTAAGGTAAAACTTGCCCCCACCGTCCTATCCTTCTACAGGAGCCTAAAAGACCTGGCTCTGCCCGTTGGCCCGGAGACCAGATGAATTCTATACTAGAGGTGGCTGATAAATTGATGGCGGACTCCCCCTCCCGCCCCCTTGCACTGTGCTCTCTGCCTGTCCAGCTTTTTGGTTATTGTATTCTCACTGTGTTCCTTTTTCATAATATTTATTTTATGGGTCTATTATTTTACTTCTGTTCTGTTTCCACTCCTTTTTCCCCCCTCCCTTTTTATTATTGTAAGCCGCCTAGCGTAGCCCCATGACGAGTTAGGCAGCAAATAAATTTAGTAAATAAATAAGTAAATCTGTACAATCAGTGCTACCTCTAAGTTGATGAAGCGCCTCATCGATTGGATCACTTCGGTCCAGATATCGTTTTGCCTTGACCTGCATGATTGCATCGAAAGACTCCCGTGTCAACCGTTGGGAGGCCATCTTGACTCTGAAACTAAAGGTGAGGAAACTTAAGAATATGCGTTCGCCAGTGACATGTCTTTATCCTATAGCTTTCACAAAAAACAGGTCTAAGTAAGATTTCTAAATCATCAACTATTCAAGCCCAGACTTAAATTCAGCAGAGCTGTTTTTTACGTGGGAAGAATAAACCACATGGAATAGAAAGTAAGAGTTGTAGGAATTCTGGTTTACACTGAATAAACTACTTTGTTTAGAGCACTATCTAAACTCTAAATCTAAATTCAGTAACATTGCTCTTGACTGCATATCGAGAGCATTAGAGGAAGAAAACATGTAGAAAGGCATTTAATCCCCCCACAAATTAATTATTTTCTCACAACAATTGTGAATATATGTTATATATATGGTCCTGACAGAACTGGTTCTGTGGGAAGCCTCAGTTTGTAACCCACCTCGATCATGCTAAATATAACGTCATTGTCGTATGATCGATGATGCCATTATATTTAGCATGATCGAGTGGGTAACAAACTGAGGCTTCCCACAGAACCAATTCTCTCAGGACCATAACACTACAGGATATTAAAAGCATATAAATTCCAGAAATCCAAAATAAAATTAATAACCAATCAATAACATTCATTAACATTTGTATATGTGACCATCAAATGTAAATGGTTAAAGATTTAGCACATTTAATTCAATTAGAAACAGACACATAAAACAAGTTCAGAGAAGTGGGAACATATCAAGGACCAATTTACTTTACATGATGTTTAATTAGAGACAATACAGAAAGAGGAAAGAGATTTTTACCACTACAAAGCAAGGGGGAAAAATGAGGCTTCTTGCCACAGCAAAGGAGAAAAATTTCTAATGTGCAGTTCACACAAACATGCTGAATGGGAGAACCTTTTGCACACACCGGAATTACTTCACTTAGGAAACAAAAGGGAATAGAGAGAAATGGCAGAAAGAAAATGAGTAACAATTATTTATAGTACTGAACTTCATCAGCATATATTCTGGTCCACCAAAGTTATGATAGATCCTCCAATAGATGGAGAAGGAAGGTAGAGAGAGATGGGTTTTTGGTTAGACCTGCTCCTTTGTCTGATTTTGAACCCAGATAATCAGCTAAGAACCACTTTGGTGTAGTGATGAAGGCACCAGACTAGAAACTGGGAGACTGTGAGTTCTAGCCCTGCCTTAGGCACAAAGCCAGCTTGGTGACCTGTGGCCAGTACTTTTCTCAGTACCTCAGTATTGAAAAGAGGAAGATATATCATGCCCTCATGTATAAAAACAATGACTAACAAAGAGGGTCAAATGTCATATTATTTGCAAAGATATAAATAATAAGAGTTCAATGATTAACAGATTTAACAGATAATCAGAGTTGGAAGGGACCTTGTAAGTCATCTAGTCCAACCCCCCGCCCAAGCAGGAGACCCTACACCATTTCTGACAGATGGAAGTCCAATCTCTTCTTGAAAGTCTCAAGGGATGGCGATCCCACAACTTCCAAGGGCAACTTCTGTTCCATGGGTTGATTGTTCTCACTGTCAGAAAGTTTCTCCTTATTTCCAGGTTGAATCTCTCCTTGTTCAGTTTCCATTCATTATTCCTTGTCTGGCCTACAGGCGCTTTAGAAAATAGCTTGACCCCTTCCTCTCTGTGGCAGCCCCTCAGATATTGGAAGGCTGCTATCATGTCTCCCCTGGTCCTTCTCTTTGCCCATTCCTGTAATTGTTCTTCATATGTTTTAGTCTCCAGTCCCCTAATCATCCTGGTTGCTCTTCTCTGTACTTTTTGTAGTCTCAACTCTTTTTTATAATGTGGTGAACAAAACTGGATGCAGTACTCTAAGTGTGGTCTTACTAAGGCTTTATAGAGTGGTATTAGTACTTCCCTTGATCTTGATTGTATCCCTGTTAATACAATTTAGGATTGCATTAGCTTTTTTGGCTGCAGCTGCACACTGCTGGCTCATATTTAACTGGTTATCCACTAAGACTCCAAGATCCCTCTCACAGTTACTGCTATTGAGCCTGGTTTCACCCAGTCTATGTGTGTACTTTTGGTTTTTCTTGCCTAAGTGTAGGACTTTACTTTTCTCTACATTGAATTTCATTTTGTTAGATATAGCCCAGTGTTCTAGTCCAGGGGTCTCCAACCTTGGCAACTTTAAGACTTGTGGACTTCAACTTCCAGAATTCCACAGCCAGCAAAGCTGGCTGAGGAATTCTGGGAGTTGAAGTCCACAAGTCTTAAAGTTGCTAAGGTTGGAGACCCCTATTCTAGTCTGTAAAGATCCACCTGGATCTTGAGCCTATCTTCTTGGGTGTTAGTTATTCCTGCCATCTTAGAAAGAAATTAAGTTTAATTAATGGCTTTCCTATGGCTATGAACAAGGAATTCCAACTAAGAATGGCATTTACCGTTACTTTGAACAGACATGCTATATGTATCATATATATCCTGGGTATTTTGAATCTTTGATTATTTTAAGTGTCAGATTAGCAATTACAATTATATTGTATTTTGAATCCTGATATCATGCTGGGTTTTTGCAAAAGGCATTTGTGAACATGGAAGTTTTCAGGCAGCCCCTTTTAAGAGTCCTAGGTCACAACATCAATTTTCCTGCATCCTTTCTTCAGTATTTCAGAAATACTGCTTTTTATTTAGATTCGAGTCCGATGCCATTGAATTTAATCAATCCACAAAAGTACTGGTTTTTGTCAAAATATTACATTTCTCATTTTTTGCCATTTCAAATTCACTCCCTTTGCTAAAAAAAATATTCTCCCAGGCAAAGTTACCTACAGCAAATGCTAGGCTTCTTTTCAGAGAAAGTGAACAGGGACTGAGGACAAATCCCCTTCATGTAAACATGTTGTTCAAAAAAATTCTAAATTAGTCTTTAGCAATGTTGCCACGAAACTAAAAAAAGAAATTAAAAAAAAGAATGAATATGCATGCTAGAAGTGATGGGGGTGATATACATCCAAACGAACGATGTTAGGTTGGAGGGAAGGAGCATCTGCAATAGAAAGCTTTCTTTAAAAAAGCCATATTCTTAAACATTTTCCTCTCAGATTGACATCCATGTTAGATCTGATAAGGGAAAAACATTGGCGGGCTCCGAGAAGAGCCACAAAGCCACACAAATGTTAAATACAGATAGCCCTCAACTTACCACAATTGAGCCCAAAATGTCTGTTGTTGAGACATTTGTTAAGTATAGAATAGAATAACAGAGTTGGAAGGGACCTTGGAGGTCTACCAGTCCAACCCCCTGCCTAGGTAAGAAACCCTACACCACTTCAGACAAATGGTCATCCAACATCTTTTTAAAAACTTCCAGTGTTGGAACATTCACAACTTCTGGAGGCAAGTGAGAGTTTTGCCCCATTTTACAACCTTTCTCACCACCGCTTTTAAGTGAATCACTGCCACTGATAGTTAGCAACCCAGTTGTTAAGTGAATCCGGCTTTCCCATCAACTTTGGTGGTCAGAAGGTCACAAAAAGGGGATCACATGACCCCCTGAGGACACAGCAACTGTCATTAAATATGAACCAGTTTGCCAAGTGTCTGAATTTTTGATCACATGATCCATGGGGGAATGCTGCAAAGGTCTGAAACATGATCATGTCATCTTTTTCAGCTTTGAGTGGTCACTAAACAACCGTCTGCAAGTCGAGGACTCCCTGTGTATGCTAATTTTCAGCCCCTTTAAGGACAACCGGATTCCCCATTTAAAAAAAAAATCCTTCCATACTAGCCACCGAGGGAAGGACTTGTAAAAGAGCATTTTCTGAAAAATCCTCCCAAAGACAGAGAGAGGTGCAGGTGGCCAGGCTGGGCTTTTGTTCCCGCCCTGCTCCCTTGGTCGGTTGATAATCTTGTACGAGGGAATATCCTTTAACGGATTAACAGAGTTGGAAGGGACCTTGTAGGTCATCTAGTCCAACCCCCCGCCCAAGCGGGAGACCTACACCATTTCTGACAAATGGCAGTCCAATCTTTTCTTGAAAGTCTCAATATCATTTCCTCGCCCTCCCTTTAGCTCCAATACAGACGCCTGGGGTCCTTGGAAAGAGGGGGGGAATAAGAAGGCCTTTTTTTGCCGTTTCCTCCCCGCTCTTCCCCAATGCTCGGACTTCGGCTGCTGCTTTACCCCCAACGGCTTACCAAGCGACGGGGAAGAAGAGAAGCAGCCTCTAGCATAAAGCGACCTCCATTAACCAGCGTCGGTTCCTTCTGCGCATGCGCCCGAGCGCCTCTCTACCCTCTCGCCGGAGCTGCTTCTCTGCGGCGGCGGATCTGCACTTTCTCTTTTGAACGCGGAGAAAGCATCGATCAGGTTTATTCTAACTCGCCCGGCTCTTTTTATAAACAAAACAAAATAATAATCCCTTCAATTCTTGCCCAGACTCGACTTCGTTGCGCACGCGCGACCAGAGGATCTCGTCAAGGGATATGAAGTGACGCTATCCAATAACGCATGCGCAAAAGGCGTCTCAAGCCAGCCACCGCTCTTGCGCATGCGCTAAGCGTTGACCGGAGGGAAATCTTGTTCCTAAAGAACTCCGAGGGTGGGAGAAATAAGATAATCTTTACCAAAAAAACAACAACCATCAAATCATCTTCCTCAACCCGTTTTAAAAAAAAAGAAAGCGGCGCCGATGCTTTCCAACGTGCAAACACAGTTATTTCGTCAATTTAACAACTTTAGCCCATCATATCTGGCCTGCAAAAATTCGGACAACCACTAAGTGGCCGCAAAGACGCTGCCTCTTAAAGGTCGACAGATTTTTTATTTTTTGCAGTTCAGCTCTGAGACTTCAACTTCCATTTAACGTCCGCCTCACCTTCCTTTAAAAATTCCTGGGGGAGGGAAACGTGCTGGCGTACGCATGCGTAGTTCAAAATTCCCCTTTCCGTGCGCTGGCATTGGCGGAATCGTGTTTTTTTTCTCCTGCACCACGTGGCCTAAATTGTACGGTGGCGAACTGCAGCCAAAAAGAACGCGTCGCCGCAGTCGCTGCCCTTAACGCGTCTTTTTCTTCTTCTTCTTCTTTTTTTGCGCACCGCCGGCTTTTGGGTTTCCCGGCAGCAACGCCGGGCTTGTCGCGAGCGTGGACGAGGGGTCGGAGCAGGTAAGCGAGGCTGGAGCCCGCCCGGAGACCCCCCCTTTCCCCCCTTTTTTGGGGGTGGGAGTGCGGGTTCCCTTTGCTATTCCTCCGCGAGGACCCCAAGGAGAAGGAATACTGTCTGCTGGCAGGCGTGCTTGGGCAGGGTTCTTTATTCCAGTCGGAAGGGTTAAAAAGCCACCGGCTTAACGTCAAAAGAGAAGAACGGGGGCGGGGGGGGGGAGTGCTGCTTGCGTGCCCTGGGAGGCGATTTTTCATTCTCTGTCTTATTTTATTTTATTTTTTTCCCTACTGCTGACCTTGAGGTACCGTATCACCTATACAGCACAGGTAGTCCTCGATTTACGACCACGGCAAAGCCCCAAATTTATGTCGGTTAAGTGGGAAATAGGTTGTTTTGCTTCATTTTACGACCTTTCTTGTCCTTTGGTTAAGTGAATCCCTGTGGTGGTTAAGTTAGTAAGGCGGTCGTTAAGTGAATCTGGCTTCCCCACTGACAAGGGTCACAAAGAGTGACTCCTAGGACACTGCAACCGTCATACATATGAACCAGTTGCCAAGCATCCAAATGTAAATCCTGTCACCGTGGGGATGCTGCACAACGGTTGTAAGTGTGAATAATGGTCACAAGTCACTTTTTTTCAATGCTGTTGTAAATTAGAATGGTCACTAAATGAACTGTTGTAAGTCAAGGGCCAGCCGTATATCCCTTTTTATTTTTTTAAACCCAATTCTTCTCCTTCCCATCCCTCATTATTCTCCCTAACAGCCTTCTCTGTTTTAAACCCTCAGCCAAATCTTAAAAGATCCTGGAGAAGCGGGGTGGCTTCCTAGGCCACAGGGTAATTTGTAGTGTATGTAAACTGCATAATTTGATTTTTTTGTAAGCCGCTGTGGTCAAGGATTAATCAGCCTTCTATGCGAGATTCCTGACAGCTAGCAGTAGGGTGAAAATAAAGTATGGTTCGTTTACCAATACAAAGTTGGATTAGAGGGGGAAAAACTACAGCTGTTTAGGCAAATCATGGAGAGAACCGGTGTTGGTTGCTAAAAGTCGATACCGACTTGATGGCACACGATCAGTTTAGGTTAAACATTCCTTTGGAGGTGATAGAAATCTAAATTCTAACAAATAGGAGACCACAAACTTTTATTGCTTAGTAATTATCTTTGGAATCAAATCTTCACTCGGATAAGGCTTATTTGATAGGAAAGTTCTCAGTGGCAATATTAGAAGATGTGATGCTTGCTTTCTGCTAGCAATGCATTACAGAAAACCATTTGCCTGATGCTCAGGAGATTAACAGCTAGGATGCGTATTTTTTTACAGTTTCCCAGTCATTCCTGCGTTTTGTTGCATTTTAAAACATTGCAAGGAGCCACAGTAGTTTCACTTAATAAGCAGAGGCTAATATTTTAAATATATGCCCCCCCCCCCCCCCATTATTGCAAAGTAGGTATTTTTATGACATTATGACGTTCCATTGCGTATCACCAGTTCTAGAGGTTCCCTTTCCTCAACACTCTGCAACAGTCTTTCCTGGAGCCGCAGTGAGTAGTGAGAAGTAAGATGAACCTGAGCTGATATCCAAAGCCATGATCGAACACAATACTTACTTTTTAGAACAGGGGTCTCCAACCTTGGCAACTTTTAAGACTTGTGGACTTCAACAAGTCTTAAAGTTGCCAGGGTTGGAGACCCCTGTTTTAGAATATGTGCTTTTTCATGTTATATCTGAGGGTCTTCTGCTCAGGTAAGAAACACTATACCAGGGGTCTCCAACCGTGGCAACTTTAAG